AAATAGAAAGATGGGCACAATATATTAAGTGTAAAGTGCAGATTACAAAAGTATGAATTGTATAACACCATTTTGTATAAGTACATATTTACATATGTGTATATATTATGTATGAGAAATAATAACGGAAGTGTACACATCAAATCTTACAAGATGTTTTCTGCGGTTTGTGGGTTTGATTTTTTTAACCCCAACCCCTTTACTTTGGTTTCTTGTTTTTGCTGCAGTGTTTTGTTTTGTTTTTTAATAGACTTTATTCTATAGAGCAATTTTAGATTCACAGCAAAATATAACAGAAAATGGAGAGAGTTCCCATATGCCCCCTGCCCATTCCCCTTTTCCCTCAACAAACCTCCCTCACTATCAACATCCCTCGACAGAGTGGTACATTTGTTATAATCAATCAACCTACATTGACACATTATCATCCAAAGTCCAGAGTTTACAATAGGGTTCATTCCTGGTGTATGGAAAACATTCCATAGGTGTTGTATAATGACAAATGTATAATGACATGTATCCACCATTACAGCATCATACAAAATAGTTTCACTGTCCTAAAAATGCTTTGTGCTCTGCCTATTCATCCCACTGCCCCTCTAACCCCTGGCAACCATATTTTTATTGTCTCCATAGTTTTGCCTTTTCCAGAATGTTACATAGTTAGAATCATACAATATATAGCATTTTCAGATTGGCTTCTTTCACTTAGTTATATGCATTTAAGTTTGCTCCATGTCTTTTGATGGCTTGATAGCTCATTTCTTTTTAGCACTGAATAATATTCCATTTTTAATGGAATATATTTAAAAATAAAACGGGGAATGGAATTTCATTAATCATCTGTATTTTCTAAGATTTATTTTTTTTTCCCCCCCAAAGCCCCAGTAGATAGTTGTATGTCATAGCTGCACATCCTTCTAGTTGCTGTATGTGGGACACAGCCTCAGCACGGCCAGAGAAGCAGTGTGTTGGTGTGCCCCAGGGATCCGAACCTGGGCCGCCAGTAGCGGAGCGCACGCACTTAACCGCTAAGCCACAGGGCTGGCCCGAAAATATATTTTTTCAAATCCAATTTTTATAATTTTGTTTACATTTAAGATGATGAGCTCAACAATTCACAGACTTCATTCAAATTTCACCAATTTTATATGTACTCATTTGTGAGTGTGTGTACTTATTTCTACAATTTTATTACATGTATAGATGTGTAACTACCACAGTCAAGATATAGAACTGTTTTGTTTTTTTTTTATAATTTTATTTATTTATTTATTTTTCCCCCCAAAGCCCCAGCAGATAGTTGCATGTCATGGCTGCACATCCTTCTAGCCCCTGCACATGGGACACGGCATCAGCATGGCCGGACAAGCGGTGCGCCAGTGCGCGCCCGGGATCCGAACCCAGGCCACCAGCAGCGGAGCGCGCGCACTTAACCGCCAAGCCACGGGGCCGGCCCAAGATATAGAACTGTTTGATCACAAAGATCCCTTGTGTTACTCTTTTATAGCCAGATCCTTCTCACTCCCCTTCTCCCCATCCCTAATCCCTGGCAACCACTAAGCTGTTCTGCATCTCTATAATTTTGTCATTTCAAGAATGTTATATAAACAAAATCATATGGTATGTAACCTTTTGAGACTGACTTTTTTTTACTTAGCACAAGTCCCTTCAGATCTATTCAAGGTGCTGTGTGAATCAATTGCTTGTTTCTTTTTACTGCTGAGTGTTCCATAGCATGGAAGTACCACAGTTTGTTTAACCATTCACCAACTGAAAGACAACGATATGAAAAGGTTTTGATTTGAACTAGAGTTTTAAAAGATCAGAGTGATTGCCATATGAAAAATAGGCTGGGATGAGGTAAGGGAGGAAGGAAGACCAGGTAGGAGGCTATTCAACAATGAGAGAGGGAGGGCGGTTGATTAGATTAGGGTAACAGCAGTGGAGGTGGTAAGGAGTTATTTGATTCTGGATATAATTTGAAAGCAGAGCTGACAGATTTGCTGATGTATTGATTTGGAGGTGAGAGAGAAAGGAGTCAGAGATGACTTCAAGGTTTTTGGCCTAAGCAACTTGAAGAGTGGCGTTTCCGTTTTACTGTGAGGAAGAAAAGACTAGCAGAAAATCAAAAGATGGTAATTCCTACTTTACAGACAGGCAAAGAATAAAAAGACTATGAGTCAGTGAGAGTGTGAAGAATGGGAATTCTCATGATGGGATATAAATTGACTCAAACTTCTCAGGGGGCAATTTGATAGTAAAGTAAATATATAATCTCTGATCCACCAATTCCCCTTCTAGATATTTATTCTATAGAAACACTGGAACAAGTATCCCAAAATACATGTACAAGGACATTTATTTCAGCATTATTTATAATAGAGAAAAATTGGTATCTTAAATATCCATCAATAAAGCATTGGTTAAGAAGTTAATTTCAGTACATCAATATATCACACAACGGAATATGATACAGCCATTAAAAAGAATGAAATAGGTTTAAATACTTTGACATGTAAAGATATCTAATATATTATTGACTGAAAGGAAAGTTGTAGAACTCATTTCTGTAAAATAAACAAATAGATAAATACATGAACAGACATAAAATAAATATGTGTGAGCTATATATTTTCTGCCTGCTTATATGCAAATATAAATAGAAAGTAGCCTAAAAGACACTTTTTACTTTATGTGCAATATACTTTGTTTTAATATTTTTCTAATTAAAAAGTAATTACAGGGAGGGGGGAGGGGGAGTGACTGTTTAATGGATATGGGGTTTTCTTTTGGGGTGATGAAAATGTTTTGGAACTTGATAGAGGAGGTTATGTAATAAATACCACTGAATTATACACTTTAAAACAGTTAACTTTATATTATGTGAATTTCACCTCAACAAAATGAAGAAAAAAAAGACATACATATGCGGGGGCCGGGGGGACTCAGGTTTTTACTTAAGTAGCAACATTTTTCTTTCAATAGTGATTTGGACACTCTGATATCTGACTCTCAAGCCCTCGCTTAGTTAAACGCTTTAAGAGCCGACAGCTTTTAACAACCAAGGAAACAAAAATTCTTGAAGAGTAATTGTCCTCACCCACTGAGACCAGGTTGCCATAGATCTCCAGCATCACCTCTTTGTACAGGGCCCTTTGTGCAGGGTCTAGTTGCCCCCACTCCTCCTCGGTGAAGTCCATGGCCACATCCTTGAATGTAACAGGTTCCTAAAACACCAATGAACAGTAATGAGCAACCATCTACACCAGTGTTCGTGGTACAAAGGGTAAACTTGGCAACACTGAGAAAGGAAGACAGAGTCAAAGGGACTTCAGAGCTCTGCCCCGAGCCATAAGGATAATTAAAAGAACAATAAGAAAATTTAAAAGATACATATACCTAATGCAGAGGCCCACCAACCCTAATAATACAAAGGGCTCTTAAAAATCAATTTAAAAAAGATATAACGCTCCAGTTAAAAATGGACAAATGAAAAATGATCTGAATGAGTACTTCCTAGCAGAAAAACAACTGGCCAATAAACACATGAAAAGATATGCTGCCTCACAAATTATCAAAGAAATGGACATTCAGATAACAATGAGCCATTATTTTCCCCATCCATTGGGCAAAGATTAAGACTTATCATACCCATTACTAGTGAGAGTGTGAGCAAACAGGCACCCTCATATACTGTTGAAAGGAGTATAAACTGGTACAAAATTTTTTGGGGAACAATTTGGCAATATTTATCAAACATATTCTTTGATCCAGCAATCGCAATTCTACAAATTCATCCTCACTAAGATAACTAATGACTTCCTTGCTGATAAATTCAATGCAAAGTTTTCAATTCTTTTTATGCTTCATTCTTTGGCATTATTTGGCCCTGCTGACACAAACTCTTCCTCAAAACTCTCTCCTCCTAGTCTGGATATCATAGTAATCTGGTTTTTCTCCTACCTCTCTGATCACTCTTTCTCAATCTCCTTCTCTACTCAACTCATCAATGTTGGGGTTCCCTGGGTTGGAGCCTAGGCCCTCTTCTCACTCACCCTGTGTGATCTCATCTATCCTGATAGCTTCAAATGCCATCTGAATACTGACATCTCTCAAATGTACATTGGTAGACAAGACCTCACGCCAGACCTAGAGTTCCAGACCCAGCTATCTGCTTGATGAACATCCAGGGTGAAGCACAGTGCCTGATCTATAACAGATAATCAGTGAGTATCTACCAAGTGAAATAAATCTCCACTTGGATGTCTCAAAGGCATTTAAATCAACATGCTCAATTCTGACTTTATCTCCCTTTCCAAACCTGCTTCTCTCCCAGTGTTCCCTAACTCAGGAAACCACACTTCCAACCACCCAGATATTCAAGTCAGAAAAACAGGAGTCATCTTGACTTCCTCTCTCTCACCCCTCATATCTGATCCATCACTAAGTCTTTTTAAAGGTCTCTTTTATCTCTGCTGCCACCACTTGATTCTGACCCACCACGATCTCTCACTTCTGCCTCCTAGTTGGTCTGTACCATCTTGCCTTCCTGCAACATAACCTCTACTCTGGCCCCTCTTTTTGCGCCCATTCCATAACTATCTGTGTTCTTCAATGGTCTTCTCTGATTATCTTCTTTTTCTTTTCTTCTCACATATTGACCAGATGATCTCAACCAAGCGTATGACTTTAATGACCATATACATGGTGACAACACAGAAATTTGTATCTTTAACCTGGGTCTGTCTCAAACCTTGATATCTGCCTTCTAGACTTCTTTAATTGGGTGTCCCACAGGCACTTCAAACTGTCCTCTAACTCCCCCCTACACAGACACACACACACACACACACACACACACACACACAGCCTCCATCTCCTCTGTTCCTTATCTCAGTGAAGAGTATCACCCTTCACCTAGCTGTCTAAAACTTGTTTCAGCCTTAACTATTCCCCTTTCCCTTATTCTCCACAACTATACACAGACCCATAATGTTATATATATGTTTTAGACCCATACTTGGAGATGTCCATATTCTTTATACACTTACTTATCTACACAGCCAGGTTCCATTACATTTGATTTCAAAGGTATATTTTCACATTAAGTTCACTGAATGCTGCCTAACTAGGCAGGCTAACGGATACTTTTATTATTAAACAAGATCTATCATTCTTTTTAGTAACCCAGCACCTTTAAACACCTGTCCTATGTCTAGGGAATTCTTCACCTTATGAATTTGTGTGTCCCCAAGATAGAAGCCAGAAACTAGCTTGCCATCATCCCTTGTAGCTTGGTCGGCCGACCAGCTGCATTTGCACAAGTCTTTAATTCAGAAGCTAGTGGCTGGAAATGGTAAGGACAGCAGCAGAGGCAACCAGCTTCCTGAAGAGTAGAAGCAAATGTTCTAGGGGTGGTGTCTAGGGTCCCGGGTCAGCAGTGCAAACTGTGGTGTCTGGCCCAGCAGCAGTGGTGTCTCCACTGGGACAGTCCAGCTATGTGATTTGGGCATTGTTCCAAACTGTGTGGCTTCCAGGCCTGTCTCTCTGGCTGTTGAGGAGATTCTATGAGCTACCAAATATCCTTCAATAAATTCCTTTTAGCTAGAGTGAGTTTTTGTTATTTGAACCTAAGAATTTAGACTGATACCGGTGGCACTAGAAAATCTATTACATATATAACCATAGCAAGTGAAAGAGGAAAATCCATATGATCACCTCACAGGATGGCAAAACAGCATTTAATAAAATAAATCAACTTCTAATTTAAAAAGACTTTTAAAGAACTTTGGTCTAGGTACCTGGGATACATCAGTGAAATAAAGAGTCAAAATATAAACCCAAATGAGAATAACAGATATCAATATGCAATGATAATATTTTTAAACAGTAACTATTTGCTTAGGAGTTCAGAACTCTTCTGATAGATCATATTGACAGTTTCTTGACTCCTATTTTCCTGAAATGGAAAGTTTTCATTTGAGTAGGAAGATGTCATTCCTATTTTCAAGCAAACCTGTAGGTTCTTAGACTATCTTACAGACTAACTACTACTAAGTGTAAACACAGCTGCATTCATACCTGAATAGAGTGGACAGGTATTAAAATGCCCTTGATAAGAACTGGCAGTTTTGGCAATAGGTAAGCAGGTGTCCTATGAACTGAAAAAGATTTTCTGGGATTACTTAAAAGCTAGTGCTTTTCTTCCCAATTACTATAAAACGTCTAATATGAATAAGGATGTGATAGATCTTTTAGTGTGGTTATTTGTATTTATTACGGTTCTAAGAAGAAAGACTAAGTTGTATCATGGGAAGACTCTAAGAATGAAATTCAATGTCTTTTGTAAAGCTTTGAAATAATTCAATAATGATTTGTTAGTCTTGAAATTCAAGCATCAAATCATTCATGCTTAGTCTATAATAACTGTAACTCTTATTTTCTAAGAGTACATATTATATGTGACAAAGGTACACTTAAGACGTATGTTCTAGATACCTATCCACTGTCTTAATTCTGTTTCTCAATCATCACAAACTTATTTCCAATATAAAACATTCATCATAACACAGTGAATTAATGCAAAATTGCTAAATCTATAGATACAGCAACTTTAAAACAAAGCTGATCAAAATAAATTCCCAGTAATTAGGCATGTTCATACTGCAGCACTCATTTTCAATTCTTAATTATCAGAAGCTTTTGGGAACTGGCTGTAAAAATGAAAATATTCAAGTTGGTCTTGAATATAGGGACATTGCTAATATTTTGACTTGGTCTTGAATATTGGGAGATTGACAATATTTGTTAAGGAATTTGTTTTACAAATTTACTCAGGTACATACATAAAATTGGATTTGTTCTTAGTCAATAATGAATAATCGCATCAGTTACATTTTGTTATTTTCTAAAATTTATTCCTAAATATAATAGAAATGTATAGAAATATAATAGAAATAACCTATACAGTAGGTTTAAATGCCTAAACCCACAGTTTTTAATGCCCAACCCAAGGTTTTATTTCAGCTATTAAAGAAGAAGCAACCTCAAGTGTATATATGGCTGTACCACTACAGATTAAGCTGAAAAATCATTTGCAGTGTTGAAATGTTCCCATGTCTATAATGATCCTACATACGGTGAGTAGGACAGGCACACTTAAGTTAGCTGCCAATAGAAATGAAACCTCTCAGCCTATGATCTATTTGCTCTTATGCAAAGAAAGTACAATCTCTGGTTTTTCTTCATATTCCTTGCTTCTAGAATGTCTCTGCAATACAGTTGTACTATTTATTCACTTGGCTGAGGATTTTTTCCACATGCTGCATATTCTTTTTATATAATTAAAAAAATACACTGGGAACTCTGAGTCTGTAATCTAGCCCACTAGTTTGATAGAGTGTTGGCTTGTATTTCTAGCCTAGACACTTAAATTATGACTTTTTGCCTAGGGTATGTATTGATATAATTACCATTCATCTATGGAAAGAAAATTTGATGATAAAACAACAAACATTTCAAATAA